ATTTTCTTGTTTTACTTTTAAGTTTGGTTTTAATGGAGCACTAATTTTAAATTGTGTAAATTGTGATTGGATGCCTAGGAATATAGGTTGATGGCACCTTACAGCGATATAACTATGAACATAAATAAGTGACTTTCATAAATTACAATTGCTGCACCTTAATGTCAGCCTTTGAGGCAATGATGAATAAATAAATGAATTCATGAATAATTACAATCTTTTCTACTATGTGTGGGAATACATGTGTCCAAATCGAAGTTCAGTGATGCATGCTTGTTTTTTTTTACTTTAAGTTTACTTTTTTACTTTTTTAAATTTAGGTATTTCTCCATCCAAAATATTTTTTATTAAAAAATATTGTCCAGTTGCATTAGACTTTATTTCAGTGAAATCACAAAAAAGAACCATCCACTACACACCCATCATCAAATAGGTATAATATATCAAGGTGTTTTGGGTTTTGATATTCAATCCACAGATGAGGATTTTAACTTTGACCTGGCTTTCAGTCCTTTAGCAATTTGCAGAGTCAATACATTCAATGAATGAATGAGTGAGTCATTCAGACACAGAGCCTCAATGAAAATACTGATTTAAAAGCAGAGACTTCAGGAGTTTGTGTTTTTTGACCCTTTACATCTTTCTGCTGAGAAGAATAATTAACCTTATTGGTACATTAAAGTTATTGGTTCATGAACTGGAAAAAGATAATGGCCACCTTGTGACCTTTACAGATTTGTTTGTTCTTTGTTCTCCTTTGCCAGTGCACTGCGTAAAGTGATAGAGCAAAAAAAAAAAATCCAGATAAAATAAAAAAAAAAACATTCTGAAATTACTTGCATCACTGTTGTAACTCACTGGGGGATGTGGGCATTTCCTCTGGGGGGCTGTTCCATTAGTACACCACGGTTTAGGTAATCGTGTTCCTCTTCCAGTCCAAAGTCATAAGGTTTTTCTGCTGACAGATTGGTCTTCCCAAAAATTAACCTGTGGTCTTTCTTTGTTGTTCCTACTAACCTCCTCCACTCTCCCTTGATAGCTGTTCTAAAGACACAGACCTGTCTGTTTTTTCCCCCGTAAATACTCAAAGGAGGAAGCAGGTGCTCATCCAGTGTGTCAATTTCCTTTGATTCTCTTGAAAGTCCCATGGTTCCCTGGGATCTGTAGTTTCATGGCCATCAAGCTGGCTCTCTGTGGCTCCGTTTCTTGTACGTTTTGCTGGGAAGGTAACTCTGTTTGAGCAATGAAATAGGAGTGTCAGGAAGCTCTTCTTGACTTTACAGGCGGTGCTCTGTGGCTAAGGATCTGTGCCTGGAAGGTTGCCGGTTCGCATCTTGCGGCCGGCAGAGGAATCCTACTCTGTTGGGCCCCTGAGCAAGGCCCTTAACCCCAACTGCTCCAGGGGTACTGTATAAATGGCTGACCCTGTGCTCTGACCCCAAGCTTCTCTCCCTGTCTGTGTGTCTCATGGAGAGCAAATTGAGGTATTCAAAAAGACAAATTCCTAATGCAAGAAATTGTATATGGCCAATAAAGTGATCTGATCTGATCTTAATACCCTGAAAATCTGAACCATGTGTATCTGAACCAAGTTTTTTTCTAAAGTCTCTGTAATCTTGTAAATAGGAATCTTTATTATATGCCATGCCTGCTCCTGCCAAATAAGTGAAGTCTAGCTTGTGGTTTGAGACAGTGCTTTGGTAAGTAAATAGAAGTAGCTAGGTTTGCATGTCCTTGATCTATGTATTTTTCGACTGTTCACCATGTCCTTTAGCTATCTGCTCTGAATGCTCCAGATTCCCATGTATGATGCACAGAAACCTGCACATTACAGTTGGCGAAAGTCAGTACTGGCTCATTTCATTATCAGTTCATATTTATCTAACAAACAAATCCTCTTTTCCGTCCAATTCAGTGGAGCAGAATGGTGCGGTTTATGGAAGTAGGGCCCAGCTGTTCTTGTGGGCTAATGAAAGCCTGCTAACTTAGGAGTGCTTGAAGTATGAAGCATGAGCTCGAAATCCTGGCTTCATTAGCACAGACAAATCAGAGAAGGCCAAGGGTGCATCGGGCACAACCTGCTCGAGTCTGTACTGCTGTATGAGTTACTCTTGCTGTTGTGAGTCCACAATATGAACTCAGTCCTGCTGTGCTGTCCCACATAGCTCTGTTTATTTCTCTTGCTCAGAAGTCTGGTCTGGTCTGGTCATGGGATCGGGTGATGGACTATGTCTGTAGCAGAGCGGGTTCAAAAGCCCACAATGGGTGACGCACACTTACTGTGCTGTTCAGACATTTTATTTGAGATTGTCATTTGTCAGTTAGGAACTTTCTTTCACCAACAAGTAGACTTGTCAAAATTTACTAATTTAGTACAATAACATACAAAGGTTAATACTACAAGGATGAATCCAAAAATGGTGATTTTTCCCTTTGGCTTTGTAGAAGCAAAATAAGGAGAGAAGCCCCAGATTGATGTTTTTTTGTGGACTGAGATGTGCTAAATAATCACATTCACAGAAAAGTTTTATTTAAGCTCCTTTATTAAAGATTGTAAGCAAATTGCTCTTAGTCTTAGACGAATTATGTATTTTCATTTTATATTAAGGAAAGGAACAGGCTGCTGTAAACAGTCTTGTCTAAATAGTTGTAAAAAAGACCCAGCTGTAAGATTTCATGCAGGGTTGGTGACTGAGCACAGGTAATTGACTGGTGTTAGTTACAATCACTGGCAGCCCCCATCTACTTAGATACACAGTGGCCTAATTTGGGCTGTCAGTCTTTTCCACAGAGCCTGATAGACCTTAGCATTCCCAGTAGCATCACAAAGCTTTTCAGTGCAGCAGAACTGATTGCTCTTTGAATATTGGGCTTTAGCAGTGGCAGCAGTAGTGGGTTACCAAACCAAAACTGACAATTGCTACATTTCTTGAAAGAAGCCCAGTGTAAAAGAGGCTCGGGCGCCTTATAGTTTGAGGAGTGCTCACTTTACTCAACCGAGGAAGGGCAGATGTATTTCTATTACAGTGGGGCACTGTTGACTGTGAGAAGAGAAGTGCATGCTGTAGTTTCAAATGCAGCCATGTTGAATACTGCAGATGCTTTAAAATATCCATTATTGCTTAAAATAGAGGAGAATGCTTGAAACTGTGCTTACAACACATTGAAATTCCTTGCCTTTTCCTTAATTTCTCATTCGTATTCAACGCAGTTGCTTAGGGCCTTGAACTATAAAAGCGTTTAGCACATTTAGCAAACGGAAGGAATTTGTTTTTTAATTCTGCTGTTCCATCTTTCTTTAGAAGTTGCAAGTGCTGTTAGTCAGTGCATTTTTGGGCTTTGTGCTTATTCTGAGAATTAAGAATTAAGCTTAGTGGGAACCAATCAGGTGGTAAATGATGCCACACAGAGAGGTGGAGGAGATCAGTAGTCGCTGTGGTAACATGAAGACTGATGCTTTTGAGGAGGAGTTGAGGAATCCTTGCCCCAGAGTAGAGGCCCGAACCTGGATGCCATGGCTTAAACCTAGTGTCGGATATCCTAGTCTGGTCTACGCTGGTATCCATCTTTTGGTGACCTTTGAGGAATCAACATCCACCCTCCGCCCCATATGAAAAATCATCTGATGAGGCTGTGAGAAATTTCAGTGGGCTGGTTTTGCTCCACAGCAGTTCTGTCTCCCTTACTTCCCCTGGAGAGCTCGGCCATCTTTGTCCTTCATTAATTCGCTGCTCTGTTTATTTCCATTAACACGGTGTGTCAGGGAGCAGCAGGGAGCGTCTGCCCATTTATACAGATAAAAGATTAATCAATTCAGCCTCCAAACAATAACCCTTTTCAGTTTAATGGACTCCTTGCTCTAATTTCCTGGCAATAATGAATTGACTGACGGGGAAACGGGGAGCGGGGAACCTCATTTGAGAGCTCGGTTGCGTGATAGATGTGAGGCTTGATGCTGCCTATCTGTCTTCCCTCTCAAAGTCCTGATTCTGCTGGGTTCCTTGGCTCAGACAGAGAGAGAGGAAAAAAAAACATGGGCTCTTTGCATAAACTGATCACTTTCTTAATTAGTATGATTAATAATCTGAGCCCCGACTGGCAAAATCATCTGCTGCTCCCGCTGCTCTTTGTGGGAGAGATAAATGTCCAAAATAGCAGAGGCCGGAAAATAATTTGGCCAGGCAGAATTTACATTATCTGTATTTTCTGTTTTTCTTAAGGAATTTATTTGTCAGGAATGCTAGCTTTACTAGATCTTTGCAAAGCTATGGATGGTATTCCCAAAATTGCTCTTACTATATTTGATTTGTGAAGTTGCAAAACATCCATTTCAGGCTGCAGTGGCCGAAACTAGCTGTCAGAGATGTGTTTCACGTGGTAAATGTGGTCCGTGGCACAGAAGATGGTCAGGATCATTGTGTGCTGTTAAATGACTAGATCCCCTGGATCTCCAAAAGCCGTATCGTGTAGATTTTAGTTAACATTGTTTGTTAACATTTTTTCACGTCCAGTGCAGGGCTGTGGGGGAGGCGGAGCCGAACCCAGTAAGCAACAGGCACAAGGCAGGATATACCCCGGATGGGACGCCAGTCCTTGGCAGGGCACACACAGACGCAAACACACACTCACACCAGGGCCAATCTTCCTAGCCGGAGCCAGAGGAAATGGGAACACCCGGAGGAAACCTATACAGAAACTGGGAGAACTTACAAACTCCATGAAATTAGAATTGAACCCAGGGCTTCTGTGTTATAAGGCAGCAATGCTAACCACTGGGCTTCCATGCCACCCACAGATCCCCTTCTAAAAACTTTGGGAAGCTCCATTTCAGTTGTTGTTTGACACTCACTGCTTTCCTCCCATTTTGGTAGGTTCCTGTTCTCCAGCTCAGAATCTTAATCGCACTCCCAGAAACCAAAATGATCCACTTGCTTTCCTTTTGTTCACAGGGAATTGGAGGATGGCCAGGTTTACATTGATGTATTTTGTTCTGTTCACAGTTGGCCTAAACATGTTTTACATCTGCATCATTGTGTACCTCTATGGAGACCTGGCGATCTACGCTGCTGCGGTGCCCATCTCTCTGATGGAAGTGGCCTGGTGAGTAGTCCTGACTTCACACGTATGCATTGGGTAGTGCTGTGCCTTGTGTATGTGGGCTCTCTTTGGAGGTTGTCACTGGAGACAATCCAAGGAAAATCAATGAATGCATTGCAAAGCTTTCATTTTCTTAGCATAGTAAATCTTTATCTGGGCCAGGATCCTCCCTCGTATGTCTGCATTGCATTAGTCGCTTGTTCCCCCTTGAACTTTTTCAGGCAAGGTGGATCAGATCTTATATCAAATATTGCGCACAGTTCTTTATCAGATCCCAAAGGTACAGTAGCTTCTGTGAGTGCAGGGAAGTCAGCCAGTGTCCCCCTTGCATAGTAGTTTGATGCATCTAAGGTTATGAACTATAGGCTTTTAGGGATCCCTTTACATATGGAGTGGAAAAGCAGTACATGTAATGTCCATTTAACAACACCCACATAACTAAATGAGAGGTAACTGTAAGGTGCTCAAGTGCTGTAAATTTGTGAAACGTCTGATTATGCCCATCAGGGCTGTTCATGGCAGACAAAGCCCTTAATTGTGAGCAAAGCAAAATCTCCAATACTGTGACTTGACTGATTCAGTAAAGCGTGCTCAGCAACTGCTACACAATGCGGACCCCAGAGATTTTTGAACCACCCTGAATTACTATATGTGAGAAAATATGTAGTCATGGCCCTTTGCACCAGGTGTTACCCCTTGGACTGTCAGCCTTTGCCTCTCGTTGCAGAGGTTCTGGCAGGAGCCCTTTTGATCTTGTGCGAGTGCTGCTAGACCCCAGACAAAATTTAGTTTGCAGCCTTTCTGTATGTTACGTTTGTTGCCGTCACTTCTAATAACATCGGTGGGTGCTAAATTGGTAGTACTCACACTGATAGTATTGTTGGCCTTCTCAGTCATTCAGTTTCAGTGCCTCCGATAACGTCACTGTTCCCTCTTCCCATGTAACAGCTTTCAGATGTGTTTTATATAGTGCCCTAAATCCAATAGCCTTACCTTGAGTGATAACATATTTCATAAGGCAGACTGTCATGTCTTGTGACCTATGGTTTCCTGATCTCATTCTCCCAGAGACTACTTGAAGGTTGTTCTCCAGTTTCTGTTTTACTGCAGCTCGAGTCTTTATTTTTAGCTTTTCTTTCATAATTACATTTTTCCTATAATGAAATTGCGAAAGTCTGCTTTGTTTGAAACATAGCTGGGAGCAAGAAGAAAGGATTTGTTCCTGGACTGGAATTTAGGCAGCATTTTTCTTTAATAGCATCCTTCTCAGCTTCTCTTTTTACCTTGAGAAATTGCTCATTTAGTATAGCTCAAGTTGTCATGTAATGTAGAGGTCAAAGTGAAAATGCCCATTCCTGAGTAATTTGATCTGCTGTTTTTAGCTTGTAACATTTTTTTAAAGTTAAGATGGATGAATAGATGTGCACATTAAAATAATGCTAAATATAGCATGCTAATTTGGCAATTTTATCACTACTATCCGTATAAGAGTTGTTTGCAGGGGTCTAACAAATGTCTCCCAGCCAGAGATTAAAGCTGATCTTTTGACTTCTTTCAATAAATATTGGGATCAAATCCTCGGATCAATTAACGATCAACAACCAAACAAGCTATATGGATTGAATGGCTTCCTCTTATAGCCTTTCTTTACACATCACAGTCCGCAATGTGTAAAACCTGAAATGCTGTTCCTCTGCATTTGTAAAGCTGAATAAGTTGTTGCTAATTGTGATAAAGGCCAGTTACATGTGTTAAAAGATTTAAATAAATACTTCATTGTATGTCTATTGGGAGTGTCCCTCAGACAGTCCTATAATATTTGTGAAAATCAGATTAAGAAGATGTTTATTTGGCAAATGATGTTAAGCATCTACCTGATTGTTTTGCATGAAAAGGTATAGATTGGCATAATCAGTTACAGTGTGTTTTGGAAATATTTGTTCTTTTTTTGACTCGGATCATTTGTTGTTTTTTAGTGTAATTAATGCTTTATAGTACTCTGTTAGCATTTAAGCAAGGGCTAAATTTCTCTCAATATTCATTAGTTAATCCCTCTTTTTTTATTCCAAAATATAAACCTTGATTTTGCCAGACTATGCTGGAGTTTTTAAATTATTTGATGCTGAAATAATACACAGCTGCTCTAAAAGGATGTATTGGTGTGGAAGTTGTATTAAGTTTAAGTTGAAAGCCCTTTAGAGAACTGATAAATTAAATCAGCATAGTCAGAATTAGAGACGTTAGAGAACCCAGGGCTTCAGTGTTACAAATACAAAAGTGTTACAAATACAAAAGTATTTATTCAAGTACATGCTTGTGTTTAAACAGCCTGTTACTTTCCCCTTCTCCTGATTTATGGTCTAAAACAAAAGGAACCCCAATTCTCATGATGGAGTGTATTCTGCAGTGAGTTTCAGAGAATGGGTTAAATATCAGGAGGTCGAGAAGGAGCAAAAGCCTAAATACAGTTCCTTATATTACCAAACTGATATCTTAGAATTTTTTCTTTTTTATCTGCTGTGATTCTGTTCATCACCGTGCTAAAGGTGTCAACCTTAAAGAGCCCTCCTGTTCCTCATGTCCTGCAGTGGGAACCATTCGTGCAGCGCAGGGAGCAGCGTCAAGTACAACGACACTGATGCATGCTGGGGCCCCGTCAAGCGGAAGGACGCCTACAGGGTGTTTCTGGTACGAGCTTTTCTCTCACATCCCTCTGCTCAGAACAGCTTCTCACCCACACAGAGTGTCTATCATCATCACTCATTTTATCCACTTCCACAAGTTATCCACAAGTTCTCAAGAGCCTCATCCGTGGAGGTGAGCGACAGGCATCAGTGAGAATCTGTGCGAAAAGGTGACTTGTTTAGGTTTCTTCAGCGAAGGAAAGGCTGGGGAACCGAACCCCCAGTTCTGAAAACGAAATTGTTCATGACATTCGTTTGGTGAAAATCTTATTCCCTGTTCCTAATGTATTTCTGTCCCTGTCAACTCTCACAATTTTGGAGGTGCAAACCAGACAACGGTCTCTTGACATTTTTCTGGACCTCAGATGCAATGAGAACTAATGTGTAAAAATGTGTATAAAATCAAATTAAAAATTTGAGCAGTGAAATAATTGTGTGATCTACTTAGCCTAGCTTCACACAGACAGTCCCTAGCGACAGCATTCTCTGTCTTTTGGCTTGAAGATAGACCTGTGAAGCAGCTACCACTTTGAAAGCTATTTACAGCAGTGAGCCATTTGGATAGTATGCCATATTGGTTGATACTGCTCACAAGGAGTGTATTGATGCTTTAGTTATTTTTGCTTTAGTTGTTCTGGGTATTTGTAGCAAATTATTTGCTCTAAAAGAATGTGGTGGAGCAAAAACAGGAATAGGCTGCTAATGATTTTGCATTTAATGTATTGTATTTTGGTCTGCTTTTTTCTAAAACAGACCTTAAATGATTTCAGATTAGTTTTACATCGAGAGGCTGAAATTCAAATACCATCAGACACCTCCCTGCTACAAATTGTTCTGATTTAGACATTGCTGATCTTAAATCTCATTTTTTTGGATTTGTCAGAACTGTACATCAATCCCTGTTGAGGGTTCTGAGCACTTACCATTTGTCATTTGAACTTCTCTAGTGGCTCAGAAGTGAGGCACTGCACTGGATCAAGTCTTTCCGTAATACTTCTTCCCAATTATTAGTGATTTTCATGCTCTCAAATCACATTCCATACAGGAGGGCACCCACTTCAGCACTGAGAAATTGCTTCACCTGCTGAATTAAGGGCGAACTTTAGGGAGGTCAGATTGGACAAGTTCAGAGTGGAATTTAGCCAGGATGCAGGTGTTAACACCTAAGCCTTACAAGACCCCCAGTTTCTATAGGTCTCTTTACAAAGGTTTAGACTAAATGAACACTATTGTTGTATTCCGTGAAAGCTATCTTTTTTTAATGCTGACTCCCTGATTTCTGCATCCTAAGATGTGTGGCTTTGTCAGTTTGGTTTCTTCAGTGTGTGTTGAAGAGTGTGCCTAAGAAGCTCCCATTTCATTCTATGTGACAAATTAAAGCAGCCTGCCAGAGACTGTAATTTTGCCTCGTTTCGATTTTTTTTTAACTGATAGCAAACCTTGCACTCCACCACAGTCAAACTTCACTATTTTTTTTATTTGCTTTTCTTATTCTTCAAGTAAATGGAAAGCAGGTTCATGAATGTACTTTCCCTCAAATACATTCTATAGGATATTTTCTTTGGTGCATTTTTTAGTGATATATTTAAATTCAGAGTGGACTTGTGCTTCTAAATTGCTTGCTTTGATTTCCATGTATTTTCTAAGTGCTTCATGCAATTCAAGGTCACATGGGAGCTGGAGCCTATCTCGGCAAGCAATGGTTGCAAGGCGGGGTACGCCTTGGACAGGACCCCAGTCCATCCCAGGACATACACAGACACAGGCGTGCACACACTCATTCCAGGGCAAATAAACCTACCAGAATGTCTTTGGACTGAGGGTGGAAACCCATGCGAGCATGAGGAAGAACATACAATCTCTACTCAAATAACAGCCCAGGTCCAGGATTAAACCCAGGACACCAGCACTACGAAGAAGCAACTAACATATATTACTGCTGCCTTGCTTTGACTTCAAAGAGCAAAAATGTTTTGAAATATTCAACAATAACCTCTTATGTGCTACTTGTACATTTCTGACAGAATTAGTTGCTAGCACACTCCCCTTTGAGTTATCATGGTAAATCTGTTTGCATTACGAATTCAGGGGTTTAAGTGGCTTTGGAGGGAGTTACCTCACTCCAGTTTCAAATAATAAAAGAAGGACTTGTGGGAAGGTATTTGTGAAAAGTTGTATTCAGCAGAGCCCTGTTTCTTGGCATTTTTTGTCAGCTTCTATGCTCTGTTCCCGTGTCAGCAATAAACATCTGTCTCTGTTACCTTTAATGTTCCTCACTCTGGATGTATTACAAATAATATCCAGTGCCATTTTCAGGAATGAAACAGTAGGGGGGTGTCTTGTGAGCGGAAGTTTGTACTTGATGTCCTGTTAAAATTCAGCAGTGCCTCTGACCAAAATCACTGAATTGTTATATCGTGTGGGGGCAGCCATCTTTCAGTTCAATTTTGCGTGTTAGACAGTTTGATTAGGTCCACCTGAGGTGTAGATCATGAATCAAAAGAGAAGAAAAAAATAGCTAAATCCAAATTTTGTTCTGAAACATCAGTCATTTTGTGATAAGCCCTTATGGTTCCCATCACTGATGTGTAAGCAAGAGTGAAGAATGGGTGTCAGGCTTTTGCAAAACTGAAGCTGCACTTCACTCTTGGAAATCTGCTTCAGCTTCATCTTTGTATATTGCTCTCTGGTTGTTAGAGATGATGCAAGGTGCTATATCAGAATGTAGTTGACCTTTCTGTGTTTTATAAGTATTTTGTTCTGTGCCGTCCACATTATTAGTAAAACTATTTCTGTTAAAAAGACACCCTCATAATTGGGAAAGTTTTATTCTGCAGTTCTTAAAGGCCAATGGAGTTTAATATTTATTGATTTTGTCCGACTGTTTGTTTTGAACCCTGAATGATGCAGAAAGCTGAGTGTGTGTCTGCTCTGTTTTTTTTCATCCCTTTGTTTAAAATCTGTTTTTTGAAATATCTGAACATTTTGTTGGCCTTTTCATTGTTTTCTCCCAGTTTCAAGAAGGTGGAAGTGATACATCACTGTAAACAGTACGCAGGTCCTTCAAAGTCATGGATAACCATCTGTACATTTTCAAACCCCTTTATTTAATGCAGGGTTTTGAGGAAGTCAGAGTCTATCCTGGAAAACAGGAAAAAGGCACACGTATACTTTGTTTTTATTACATATCTTCAAAATGTTCATGTCTGCATCTTCCAGGTGTTTGTCTAAACATTTTTGAATTTAATTTGCATCTTCTCTTATTTTGCTGTCTTTGGTGTCATAATCTTTTTGGTATCAATGGTAAACTTGACTAGTATGCTAACTATATCAGTTTCAAGCTCATTAATATAAATCAGGTAGAGCACAGATACTAATACAGACCCATCTCATACTTCACTAATAACCAGTTTGAGCATATACCTCTCATATGGTACCCTTGAACCTACAGTATAAGAATTAAATGCTTCTAAACTAATTTCTTTCATTAGGTGGGAAGAAATAGTGGCCACCTTTGAATTTTCTGTAAGATCAGTCCTAGATGTATCATCTGCAGCAGGCAGTAACTCATCAGATTATTTGAATAGGCTCAGTAGGATCACAGTTGTAGTAATATATTGCATAAAAGTTGGTTTCCTGTAATTGCTCTCCCTTTTCTCAGGGGTTGTGAGGAATGCAAAGTGGAATGAGAGCAGAATTCCAAGCAATACAATTGTGGGAACAAGTGTCTAATAATGGATGGAAGGATGATGATTTATTGCCTTAAGTTTTTTTCACCTGGATTTCATTCAACCTATTATTACAATAACTTCATCTCGTTCATCACGCTGAGCATTTAGGTCCTTCTTTTCATAGTCTTGTTTATCTTCTTTTCAGGTTTGTTGCATTTAAGGGATCACACAAAGTGTATATTGTTAAAGAAGAGTTCAGCAATGCTGTGTCATTGTGGCTAGGAGTGTTCTGTTTACTGTAATCACTCCAATTACATAAAAAGGAACAAGGAGAATACTTTGTTTCTGTCCTTATGATTCCTTTTCTGCATGCTAATATATTCCAATTATTTGAATGTCTGATCCGATTTAAATTTGTTTACTCAGCAGATTATGCAGTTTCCATTATCGGCTGCTGTAATTTCTAGTATAGGACGTGTTTTAATTGTCTTTCCTTTCTTCATTACAAAGTTGTTTCTTCATGTTCACCGGTTTTGGCTGCAAAGTGCCTTCTGTGCCCTTGTGCCCTTAACTATAATTAGTTTAGACAAATATGAGAGAAGAAGAGAGAGAAAATGTGATTTTCATAATTATGCCTTTTTATTAGGTTTACTGTGCTCTCAGGCAGAAATCAAGTTCCATTTTTTTAAATGAAATCTTATTAAATTTCATCTCTTTGTGGACTTTTTGTCATTAATAAATTATATGTTTAATAAAAGGGTTATCTCCTTTGAATGTAAATGGGAGAATGCATGCTGGCCTTTATTTCCCTAACTGCAGCTGTGGTTGGTTTTAATGTTTGATCTTCCTGCCAGGACTGATGCAACAGGTCTCCTTCCATTATGAAATTTTGATTTTGGAGCTGCTGTGCATGTAAAGTATAGGCCTCCACTGGCACACTACCACTACCCCCACCTGCTATGCCATTTGCTTGAAACCTGTCAGGTCCAAATTCCATTCTTGTCACAGAGGATACAGGAAAAAGATACCAGCTGCATTTTCCTATCGTGGCTGTCATGTCCTTAAAGATTATTGAAAGCAGGCAGTCGTCTCCTGCCCTGTGATAAAAAATGCTCAAAGTCATGAATGCTCTCACCCAGCAGTCAGAAGCAGAAAATTGTTGCTGTATTAATGGGCACACATCAAAGGGAATGCATTTGTATGGCTACTGTGCCTACAGAGTGAACCTTCGAAAAAGGAAACTTAAGTAGAAATTCTGCAGAGGAAAGAAATGTTTAAGTTGTACTTATTCAGGCTGTGTGCTTTAAAGCAGTGCTTGTTCTTGCACTGTACC